TTTTAATGTCTCCGGTCGCCTCAGCTATGGCCAGATCGCTGAATTGGCTGGAATTTCCTCGCAGGAGCTCTTTCTTTGGTTTCCTGTTAAAGGAATTCACGTCGATTTGTCCTCTTCTGGTTTGATTCATTTTGACGTCGGCGTTGTTGACAAGCAATTCTCCCTGTCTCTCTTTGAGTCCCCGCCTGATTGCACTGCCGCTGATCCTGTTGATCATTCCTTCGAGTTGAATGGAGCCTCTGTCGATTTGAATGTGGCTATTTCTATGGTACGTTTCAGCTACTGTTTTCGTTCGTTTATCATCTATATTTACTTGTTTCGAATTCGTGTTGATGGTGCAAAAGTTGTTACTATGATGCTTGCTTATGTCTTTGGTTGAATTTTTGCGTTGTTTTGGGAAATATTGTTGTTATTATGTATCAGCAAGCATTGGTATTATTATTCACATGTAGTTATCATTACGATAATTCTATGTTCTAATTTACCTTGTTATGTTGTAGAACTGGAATATTGTCGATTCCCTGTTTTCAAATCTTATAGAATGATCTGGTTAAAAGATACTACTTCTTTTTAATTCATTGCTTTGTTACCTTCTTGTCGACATGTAGCGATAGGTTAATGGTTTGGGATCGAAACATGATCAAAACGTAGGATATGCGTGTTAAGTTTGTCATCGAATTTTAAGTTACGGAGACATGACTATGGAGTGAATCATTGGGGCATTGAATTAATGCCTCTTCAAGGAAAAACAATGTTTAATGTGGTGTAGTTCGTCGTGCCATTTCATAATATATTCTTGCCGTGTTCTTTCGTTCAAGCGAGGTATGGGTGTGGATGGCTTTATGAATCTTGAATAGATGTTTATGTCCATTACTGCAAGCAGCTAAGATTGAGACTGATTAAGACCTTGTGTATTAATACATTCACATGTCTTGGGGAATCAACTGATATTAATAGGATCATCCAAGTTGTAACTCCTAACTTTATGATCTTTCTTTTAGTTACAATGCATTTTTCTTTTGATCTTATAGTCGCTAGGCTCTTGTTCTTGTATTTGTCATAATTTTGCATTACTATATTGGAATTCTTCATAATGTAGTCATATGTTCTTAATTAAGAGGTTGCTTCTTTGGATTGTCATATAATTTCAGAGTGAAGCACAGAACCTTCAGCTCGAGGACAGGGAACTGCGAGCAGCATCATAGATTACCAATACAAGAAACGTTACGGATTTCCCGAGGCTTTCGTTCAAGAGTCTGCCTTTGCTGGTCTGGTAAATTTGTTTCTGCTATTTGTGGATTGCTTTTGTTTTGTATAGTCTTTGTTTCCTAATAGTCCTGTCTGATGGGGATAAGGAGGCTATTATATATTCATATAAAGAGCTCACAGAAATCTTTAGCCTCCAATCCTTCAAGTCTATACTATTATTAGCTGAATTTAAGCGAGGGAGATTGTTGCTTGGGTCGGCTTATAAGAATCCTAGAAGTCATGTCTGGTATTAAGTTTAGCAGTCGTCTTGTCTGTTGTAAGTGCTTTTTATCTCTCTTTATGAAGTATATCACTGCTTCTGGCTGTGGTTGGCATTGGCTACTCACAAAAAGAAGTTTTGTTTTTGTTGTGCTGCCTCTATAGCCATAAAGTTTGGGCTTGTAAATTGTACATTGCAAAAGTGATATTTTAGTAGCTAAAAGAGGATTTACATGTATTCTATTATCATGAAGCTTAGGAATATTTAGCATCCTAATCGGAATATATTTTTTGTAGGAAAAAATGAAAGGGAGTTCTATTCAGGATAAGAGTCATTAGAATCCTTTAAATTAGGAAAACACTCTTCGATTAGATGATGCGTCATGTCCTCGTTTACTGGCATGTCTTCGATTAGATGATACGTCATGTCCTCGTTTACTGGCATGTCTTCGATTAGATGATGCGTCATGTCCTCGTTTACTGGCATGTCTTCGATTAGATGATGCGTCATGTCCTCGTTTACTGGCATGTCTTCGATTAGATGATGCGTCATGTCCTCGTTTACTGGCATGTCTTCGATTAGATGATGCGTCATGTCCTCGTTTACTGGCATGTCTTCGATTAGATGATGCGTCATGTCCTCGTTTACTGGCATGTCTTCGATTAGATGATGCGTCATGTCCTCGTTTACTGGCATGTCTTCGATTAGATGATGCGTCCTGTCCTCGTTTACTGGCATGTCTTCGATTAGATGATGCGTCCTGTCCTCGTTTACTGGCATGTCTTCGATTAGATGATGCGTCCTGTCCTCGTTTACTGGCATGTCTTCAAAACTCTTGTACCTTTCCTTCCTAGTCTTAAAGATTCTTCTAAAGTGGATATCATAGTTCCAAGCTTCCCCAAAAAAAGGTTGTTGAAGGGAAGTTTTTCGAGTTCCATTGAGATGATTGAGATGAGTTTTATGTGCTTTTTTAGGTTTGAAACGTTTTGAATTGAAACTTGTGTTTATTTGGTATTTGAATTTTATTAGTTGTGTAAAAAGTTTATGAACTCTCAATTTTGTGTCTAATAGATTTATGTACGTTAAAAATACGTTTTTGGTCCCTATTGTTCGGTGCTTTTTCAATTTAAAAGGTTTTAATTTAGTCAATGTTTGAATTATTAAAATTGGTGACATAATAGATAGTGAGTTACTATAAATTTGGAGGAAGAACTATTGCTTCGGAAATGGAGTAAAAAAAATAAATTTTTTTATATTTTTGAAACATTGTGGACCATATTCACTCCAATATTATACATTAAAACGTAGTTGTATTTTATTTGTATTTTATTTGTATTTTAATAAAATATGTATCATACTAGAGAATAATAATTTCTAGTATAATAATTTGGCACAATATGACACAAAAAAAAAAAAAAAGTACAAAGTAAACTAGTCAAACATTTAAAAAAAAAATTGTGGCAACTATTACAACCTATTTTTAATTTTTTATAAGATTACCGGTCGATGATCTATGTTCACGTTTGTTTTGCATATCTCCAACTCGTGTCATCAGCGGTTCACCTAGTTACTCTTTTTGGGAGTTCAATTGGAAGAAGAAATGAGAAAGCCATAAAAAGAAATAGGCTAAGCAAATATTGAAATAGAAGTATGTCCAATCTGAGATGTAATAAAGATAGAGACCTATTATGGGACATACAATGCATTACATATGTATGATCCGCTTCAATTGGGTTATTCTATATCACCTCATAAAGTCCATATCTCTTACTGTGAAACAAAAATATGGCGGCCCCACTACAGCAAGCGGGTTGGTTCCTCACTACAGCAAGCGGGTTGGTTCTTCTGAGGTGCTCTTGGAGAGAAGACTTTAGAATAAGACTATTGGTTGTTGGTGGTGGTAAATGAGGTAAGTAAAGATAATCTAAGGATCATCTTAGATCCCTAAAATTTTCTCAGTAAAAGTGACAATTGATTGATCCAAAGAAAATTCCTTTAGAAAACTATAATAATCTCTCTAGAGCCTAATGTTAGAAGACTATAATAATCTCTCTAGAGCCTAATGTGGAGGATAATCCAAAAATCACCTTAGAGCTTTGAAACTTGCTATAGGAAAGTGATAAGTTCACGTGTCCATGAGAGTCGAACACGCCAAGAAGACTATAATAATCCATTCGGGTTTGATGACAATCATAGGGATAATCCAAGGGTCTCTAGACCTTCAAATTTTTCTCAAAGAAGGTGATATTCATAAATCTGAATTAGAATCTTGCACTCCTAAGAAGATTAGAACAATCCCTTCGAGTTTGGTGATGATTTAGGTATAATATAAAGACTACAGTGAAATCACGAGAGAAGAATCTTACACTCATTACACCCAAAAAGACTAGAATATGCCCTTTAAGGTCTCATAACCGTCCAAATATCAGCTTAAAGCCTTGAATATTTTATTAGAAAGTGACAAGTTCAGAAAAATCTTCTCTAAAAACGTGATAAAGTCAAACTTATAACCTAACACCTCAAGAAGACCACAATAATCCCTCTGGTTTGAAGCCCGAGTTCCCTGGTTGGCCTCATAGCGTGCCCTCAACCTTAAGCGATGTTTTGTTAATACGACAATCACATCTAAAATATTGTTTTAGGGCAAATTAAAAATAATATTAACAAAATTGAAAAAAAAAATCGTTACAAAAACCCTTCCCAACTCTCCCTTATTAATTTTATTAAAAAAAATAATTATTAATGATATATATTATTTCAAATTCTCAACTTTCTCACAATAAATGGTGTAATTAATATTAAAAAAAAAGGACCACAATTAATTGCAAAACCATTTCAACTCTCATTAAATAGTTATTAATATTAAAAGAAATTAGTCCACTCCCGTATTTTCTATTATTAAATATTACCTTAAAAATATTAATAAAATCATATCATTTGGCTTTTAATTCAAATATAAATTTCTTAATTTTATATTTATAAATTTTATCAACCACAAATGAATTATTTAAATTTAATTACATATGAATAAAAAAATTAAAAAAATAGTTAAAATGAAATTAACATTAAAAAAAATGAATTAATACAGATTAGAATATAATTTAATGTATTACTTCATACTTAAATAATTTAAATTAAAAAAAAAAGTTTCAAACAGTAAAATTTATATATAAGGTAAAAAATGGTAAGAGGGAGATTGCTCGAGGTTCTTCTCTTCGTCTGTTCATTGAAAATGGCATTGCCCAATAAAACTCTTCATTGACTTCGCTAAATCTCTCTCTGTTTCTCTCTCTCCAGTTTCTTTTTCTAGTAGTTAATAGGTAGAGAATTTCTTCTTGGGGCCTGGCCTGCAGTCAATCACAGTGGAATCGGAGGTTGTTCGTAAGGCCAGGGAGTTGAATTGACTGAGAAGCACTGCCGGATTCAAAATCAACCGTTCTATCTATTTGTTTATTCAAAATCAAGGGGAAGTTTGAGACTAAGACTTTGATCTTTCTATATTCCCCTGTTTCTTATTTGGTTTCTCCATTGCTGTTAGTCTATAAATCTGAGCTGAGCATCGATTTTAGTTGATTTTTGGTTCTGGGTTTTGGTTTAATCTCTGTTTGATTTGGGGGTTTGGTCTTAGTTATGGATATTGCAAGATTTTCTATAGTGAACTTGTTGTTAGGGATTTCGTTTTTGTCGAGTGGGGATTGTAATTTGGTGTTTAAGGTTCAGCATAAATTCAATGGTCGTCAGAGGTCGTTGAGTGCGTTCAAAGCCCACGATATGCACCGTCGCGGTAGATTTCTTTCTGCTATTGATCTTGAATTGGGTGGCAATGGACATCCTTCTGAATCTGGGTTAGTCTTGATTTCTATTGCGATTATTTGCTGTACACTGAAAATTATGGTGTTTTTATGCGGTAATCTTGATTAGTAATTGCTTATTTAGTGGATAGTTTATTCCATTCTGATGTTCTTTCAAAAAGGGCTGGTGTTATTGGATTCTTTTCTACCTCTTTTTAGTAAACACTGTATGGAATCTTTATTTTTTCCTTTTTGTTTTGGCTTTGTGAAATCAATCACTGCTCAAGTTCTTAATTGCTCAAGTTTTTAATTGCTTCAGATCGTTAGAGGAGATTTTTTTCGTGCTTTTTTTGGAAATCCTTGCCTCAAAGTTCTCTTATTCATATTCATTATTGGATGGTGGAAGTAATTATATGCTTTCAGGCTGTACTTTGCTAAAATTGGGCTTGGGACACCAGCCAAGGACTATTATGTTCAAGTGGATACAGGAAGTGACCTCTTATGGGTGAATTGTGCAGGCTGTGCAAACTGTCCAAGGAAAAGTGATCTTGGTGTATGTCTCCTGAACTTTAAATTCTGGTTGAATTTCATATTTTATATTCAGAAGTACACCAAAAATTTGTAACTTGTTTTCGTAGTGCACCGATCATAGTTTCCGAGCTATACTCTGATTATTTTTTGAAGAAACGTTAATTATACGATTGTTCGTTACAGATAGAACTGACTTTATACAATCCATCAAGCTCTAGTACTTCAAACCTGGTAACTTGTGATCAAGATTTTTGCACTTCCTCACACGACGGTCCAATTCCCGGCTGCACGCCTGATCTGAACTGTGAATATACAGTTTCATATGGAGATGGAAGCTCAACTACTGGGTATTTTGTGGAGGATCGTGTAGTACTTGATCAAGTAACGGGAAATTTTCGAACTGCATCTACAAATGGGAGTATAGTATTTGGGTAAGAATATCATTTTCTACGTTACCATTTATTTCAGCACTGTGTCGAGCAACCGAACTTTTGGGTCCTGTTGCTTAGTTTAAGGAATGTGATACCTTTGAGGGATATTTTGACGTTGACTGTCACAAAAAGAACAGAGGACTTTTTAGATGCTTTGGGATTGTTGATGTTTATGATATACCTTGAACAAGTAAGTTCAGTCATTTGGAGCATAAACTATATACTTTCTGAAATTCTTTTATTCGTTGGAGCTTTACCATCTCTGAAGTTGAGATTTTTGAAGTATAAACTACATAGCTTTATTTTTTGTGAGAAGGACGCTGGGCCCCGAAGTAGGGTGGATTGTGAGATTCCACATCGATTGGGGAGGAGAACGAAACATTCTATATAAGAGTGTGGAAACCTCTTCCTAGCAAACGCATTTTAAAAACCTTAAGGGAAGGTCGGAAGGGAAAGCCCAAAGAGGACCATATCTGCTAGTGGTGGGCTTGAGCCGTTACATTTTTAGATGAATATTAGAAAACCTATCCAGTTATTTGTTTGTGTTTGAAGTAGTATATAGTAGAAAACCTAGCGGTGGGCTTGGGCCGTTATTTGTTTCTGTTCTTCTATTTCTTCATGCTTATTTTTGTTTTCCTTGATGGATACATGGATGGATAGTTGTGGTGCTCAACAATCTGGCCAACTAGGTGCAACATCTGCTGCGGTCGATGGGATACTTGGTTTCGGACAATCAAATTCATCCATGATTTCGCAGCTGGCTTCATTAGGAAAAGTTAGAAGGATTTTTGCTCATTGCTTGGATAACATTAAAGGAGGTGGAATTTTTGCCATTGGGGAGGTGGTGCAGCCAAAAGTCCACACCACTCCATTAGTGCAGCAACAGTATGTTATACTTCCCTGCATTTAGTAATCTTTGTCATCTTGAATCTGAAATGTTGATTTACTTTGACTAGTACAAGTGATGCGTTAATAGCATATTTTGTTTTGAACTGTTTCATATCTATGTGAAAAATTCAGGAGGGAAAAAGGAATTAACCATCTGTTTGTGGAAGATAAATTGAACATTGTTCCATTATCATTCTCTGCCGAAAGGAATTCATGAAAGCCTTATCCCTTTCAAGGAGAATTTCATGGAGAAAAATAATATCCTTAGCAAAGAGTTGAACAATAGATAAAGTTGTAAAAGAGAGGAGTTGGAAAAAGGTGTTGAGTTGAACAGAAAATGGTATGATATCTTTAACAATCCATCTCAACAAAATGACCCGGATCATATCATGTAGAGTCGTGACTCTGCTCGAAGTCTAGCGCAATTTTTTTAAGGTGCCTAGCTTTTGTTAGCTCCTAGAGTTGCAAGGAGGCGTTTGAGGAGCTTTCCTTTCATGTGCCCTTTTGCGATAAAGGGAGTTTTTTGTCGCAAACTTCTGTGTGTGCTGTTTTGTGGGGTCTTTGGGTAGAGAGCGACAACATAATTTTCGGAGGACGTAAGAGTTCTTTTAGCGATGTTTGGTCCCTTGTTAGATTTTTTTTTTTTTGGGTCCCTCGAAGGCAGGGTGAAAGCGTTTGAAAATAATCCAATTACGATACGCTATCGGTATCCTCAATAGTGTTTTTGTTGTTATCGAACATGGGGTAGAATTTTGGATGCTCATAGGGAAGGAGAATTGCAAGCAATCAGCCCCGTTCGGGTACTTTGTTGCTTATTTTACCCTTCTCAAACACAGATTAGTATTTTACATGCATTTATATATCTTCTTTTTAAATATTTCGCTTTCTTTTCTTAATTAGTAGCCTTGGACTTAGTTATTTCATCATCAACTTTAGGGCACATTACAATGTGGCTATGAAGGCAATTGAGGTTGGCGGTGACATGCTGAATCTCCCCACAGATGTTTTTGACACTGATTTAAGCAGAGGAACAATTATTGACAGTGGCACGACGTTGGCTTATCTTCCAGACGAGATTTATGAACCATTAATAGCAAAGGTACACTAAGTAATTTTTTTTTTTTTATTTTACGTTTTTGTTAATCGTTTCCTGTCCAAAACAATATTTAAAGTTCGTATTTTTAGAAACTGAAATTGTCTTTACTATGTTAGATTTTTGCAGGGCAGACTGGACTGAAGTTGCATACTGTTGAAAAACAGTTTACTTGCTTTCAATACAACGGAAAGTAAGATGACATGATACCTTCCTGGCTAACTTCTATTCGTCTTTGTTAAACGTATAAAATAGCTATCTTATTGTTCGACCTTTGATGTTCATTTCGGGGTCGGTCTTATTTCATTCACATGATCGTTAAATGTGTTGCTGGTTGAGGTTCTTATTTATTTCTTTTTATTTGGTCAGTTTTTTCTAGATTCATGAGCAAAGATTTGTTAGTGTTCTTCCCGAGTAAATGATATCCATGTCAAAAAATAGTAGTACTAAGTGGCTGGGGGAAAAAGGGATATCTCGAATTCCGGCGCAAACTGTTCATCATATTAAAAATAGTTAAAATTGAATCTGGTTAAAAGTCTAGAGATACCCTCTAGGATCCTTGGTTCAAGTCCGAGCTCAATAACTTGAAACTCTGTCATCTCTAGAGTTGGTCTTGGGATAGGAGGTCCCTCTCTAGTTGGTGTAACAACCTAAGCCCACCGCTAGCAGATATTGTCCTCTTTGAACTTTCCCTTCCGGGCTTCCCTTCAAGATTTTTAAAACGTGTTTGCTAGGGAGAGGTTTCCACACCCTTACGAATAATGATGTGAGATTTCACAATTCACTCCCCTTCGGGGCCCAGCATCCTTGCTTGCACACCGCCTCGTGTCCACCTCCACTCCTTTACAAAGAATGTTTCATTTTCCTCCCCAACCGGTGTGAGATTTCACACGTGATCATGAGCATAATGCAAAAAGTGAGGCCCCAAACTCCGCATATCTTAAATATAATAAGCATCATAAGAGTTTAGCATGTATTGCATAGTTTCCTTTACCTAATCAAAACATCCTTCAACATATTGAGACTAGAACATCTTATTAATATCGCTACGCTTAAAACGTTCATTATCTGAACATTTTCTTAAAAGTTTCTCATTTGGCTTTTATGTTCTTCATGCAGCATTGATGATGGATTTCCTGACGTTACGTTTCACTTTGAAGGTTCACTATCTTTGAGAGTTCGTCCTCGTGAGTATCTGTTTGATATTGATGTGAGTGAATTGAACTTTGAAGTATGACCAGACTTCCTTTTCTCATGCTTTATTGATGCTAACCCCAATAATAAAAATTTGGGCTAATAATGTGAATGATAGGAATATTCGCAACAAAAAAAAAAAACAATTTAATTTGATAATTACTTACGAAGAACATATGAAAATGTCTAAGCTGTGATTTGACAAATTTTGCAGAGTGATAAATGGTGTGTCGGTTGGCAAAACAGTGGTGCCCAATCTAGGGATGGAAAGGGTATGATTCTGTTGGGAGGTCAGTGAAAAGGCAATGAACTCGTTTATTATTTCATGACTTCAATTATGAAATTCTGCTGCTGCAATTTGCCTTACTTGGGATACACATTATTGTTAACCAATTTTCTTTTTCATTTGTTTCTGATTTCAGATTTGGTGCTTCAAAATAGACTCGTGCTATACGACTTGGAAAATCAGACCATCGGTTGGACAGAGTACAACTGTGAGTACACTTGACTCTTATTTAGCACTAGATAAATTTCGAGTACACCTGTAACAGCCCAAGTCTGAAGAGACGCTTTTTAAAAACTTTGAGGGAAAGTCCAAAGAGGACACAATATTTGCTAGCGGTGGGCTTGGGTCATTACGACACTTTGACTCTTATTTTCTATGTTTCATACGATCCTAACATACAAATTTACATGCCTGTGATGCCTATGCCCTGCTTTCTGATTGAATCGCTTTACTGGTTGAGTAATGTTTAGACATGTTCTACTTCTGCTCAGACTAATAGGCCAGAAAACAGTAGATTTTTATGCTCTTTCTATTCAAACTTTCGTGAAAACTATTTGTAGCTCGTATTGTTTACATCTGATGGACCAACAAGTAATGATTTGTTACAATGTGACATAAAGGGTAGGCCAATTATAGATAAAGTAAGGGCAGGTAGGACAAAAACGAGTTCGACGGGTCGGTGGCGGGTCGCTTTTAAATTGGTTTTGGTCTTACTCTTTTTGGCTTGGCTTCTCTGTTGTACAAGGTTGTGTTAAATCATGTCGGTCCATGTTCCTCAATATAGTAACAGTATTGGATTGGTTCTGTTCAAATGTTAATATGTTTGAATGGGGAATTGCAGGCTCTTCAAGCATTAAGGTGAGGGATGAGAAGAGCGGAGGCGTATATACAGTTGGGCCTCATGATCTTTCTTCCGCATCTTCCCTAAGAACTGGAAGAACATCAGTGGTGTTGTTCATACTAATGCTTACCATGCTTCATTCTTTTACAAACTAAAAACTAAACAAACATACATTGTTTTCAAAGTGACTTGAGTTCAACATAAAAAATAGTATGAACAACACAACTCATTCTTTTTCATCATTGAATTGGTTCTTTAAGATCCATTTCCCAATACTGAATTATTCTTTGGGCTTTGTGTAAACAGCTTATCCTTTGAATTCATAGGCCTCAACTTAATTCATATAAAAACTTTATTGTAATGTTTATGTATGTGTTATCCGTTCAAAAAAGATTAAGTTATAAATTCGATGGTTTGTATGGAGTTGACAGATGATCCAGGGGTTCGGTTTCGTAGGAACTTTTTATCTTCAGACTTCGAAAAGAATTAGTAAACCCCATCTACGTTTGAACCATGATATGAAATGAGTTCGATAAAACGAGCAGAATTCTTATTTTGAAAATAACTAAAATACTAAGAATAATAAATAAGACAAGTGGTAAGCACGTAATATGTGGGTGGCTACCCTGAGGTACTATCTTATTATGAAGTAGTAGATTATTATGCGAGAGTGTCCCATTGGACAACCACAAAATTACTCGAAAGAAAATATAAAAAGCGGGAAATTGGATAATAACACCATTAATTCACATACTAAATATTGCAAGCCTTATCCGTTTCTGTTTTTGGGTGAAGCTCATAATTAGTCTCACTAATTTCTTTTCTTAGCCACATATTAAATTGCATGTCTTTCTCACACTTTAGGTGCACATATGAGAACTCATGACCACAAATATTTATTCTAATAAATTTGTGTTCGTAGTTTAACATTAACGATTCAACTTTTTCGAACACTTATTATTTCATAGATTTACAGTATGGTTTTTCATGTACTTAAAATATACAATCTAAAGTCTCATAGCCTCTAGCTCCTCGACTCTGGTATGCTCTCATCATTAGTAGTGTAAGCTCAGGTACCCCTTGAAAAGAAAAATTAGAATCCTATGTCTCGTAGAATCTTAGAGCTCTGCAACTCTGGTATGCCCTCGTCATTAGTCATGGAAGCACAGGTATCACTTGAAAAAACAAAAAAGGGTTATACGTAAGATTATGCACGGTAAACAATTTACTTATAGGCTAATAATATACATCAAATATATGTCTATACGTCGCCCATTATATCTATAGGTAAACCCATCACAAGAATACTAGTGTATACTAAAGAATCAATGTGTTGGTGAGGGGATTGCTCCAAAAAGGGAGCTAAAAAAATCAGAGAGAAGAAGGATGAATGTCCAGCCCCTAGTTTTAGGTCCAAAAAGGCAAACAACTGAAAGAAAATCAGTGGAACAAAGTTCAAACAATGTGGCAGTCCACATCAAAGTAAATTGAAGATTTGCAAAGCAAGTTGAATTTTAGGCTTCACAATCACAAAATTTATTAACAACATTACAAATAACAAACGATTCGTACAAGAAAAATTATTAGAACAATAAAGGATGGCAAGTTGATCCTACAAAACTCGAATTTTACTGATATGACAGAGTCGTCGACTATTCCCCAGACGCACTAATAAGGTCGGGCCGACCTCTCTCGAGTTCAATTCTTATGTGATTTCTTTTCTTCTCCTACAGAAAGAATAACAGAAGCAACAAAAAGTAAAACATAATAAACTTTACCAAAACAAGGCACTGATGGATATCTTCTGAACTTCCCAGTTACTTCCGCCCTTTCTTATCTTCTTTTCCAGGATCGAATCTCGGCAGGTTTACCAGAGTATTTACGCGTGAGACGCCTTCCAGGGCAGACCATTCTATTCCCATTTCTGAATGTTCTTCCTCCTTCGATTCATCTTCTTCTTCGCTTCCATCCTCCGGAGTTTCCTTGCAGATTTGGACGGTTCCCAAATGATTCAGACCATTTGGGCTAGAGAAATCTTCACTCTCAACTGCACTGCTGATGTGATCTATTAAACTTTGTTGCACCTCTGGTTTGGTATTGGAAGCAGATGATAGATTTCCGGAGTTCGAGTCAAGAAAAAGGCAAACAACCGCACAGTCATCAATCTTGGAAGTTGGGTACTTATATTTCCATGCTTTCACGGCTGTCTCAACTAAAGTTCGAGCTGCAGTAGAGCGTTTTGGAGCCGATGCAACGACATTTACAACCTCTTTGTTTGATAGCACATCCCATATCTGCAAAAAGAAACACAAACCAAACTCTGAGAATAACAGAAGGAGGAGGATCCCTTTTTAAAAGAAAATTGCAGAATAAATTGCTCTCATACTCCATCTGTAGCCAGAACAATGAATTCGTCTTTTTCAGTGAGCCGTCGATATGATATTTCAGGTACAGAGATTAGACCAAAGTCTTTGAGGCAGAAATCTCCGAATGCTCGTGCCATGGCAAGTCCAGGAGAGTTGCTGTTTGGAAGCCAAACTCGAGGAACATCAGGTTCGTCGTGGAGAGCAAAGACACGACCTCTACACTTACGGATTCTCTCTGCTTCAGCTGTTAGTGGGAAAGAATCATCGTAAAAATTCTTTCAGTAAACCAGTAAGTTGGGAAGGAAGTATAGGGAGAGAGGAGCAGACTACAGTCAAATAATTACAAAGTAACTGAGCATTTGGCTCATAAGAGCGCAGTCCGAAGTACCGTACTTCAATGATTCCTACCGAGAAAGCTAGCTATGAATCTTATGATCAAGAAATATAATTCATTGCACAAAATTTCCTTATGGTCCAAAATAACTCATTTTTTAAAACATCAAATTTCAATTGAATTGCTCTTATATAACAAAATGATATTCTACAGAGAGGAGGTCAGCAGAAAGGCAAAAACCTGGAAGATTTGGCTTCAGATCCACAGTCAATTGAATTGCAACAAGAGAGTCATCTTTATCTCTCGTACCCAGAACAGCTCGGGAGTCCCCAACGTTTCCAATGACAAGATCCTGACCCTGAAAGACGGTAACTTATGAGCAAAGAACACACATATCTTATCTCAAATCAAATCCAAAACATTTCATTTTTAACATGAAACAGCACCTGTTTAACCATAGTCACTGCTGTTGTCCCACTACAGAAGCTATCTATACCTTGGTGCATTCTGAGTTCCCTATCCATAACCCTAAAAGCCTTAAGAAATGATTCCTTCAAGGCATGGAAAATTTCAGGTTGCTTTTCTGCTCCATCACCATCAGTGGATGCCCTAAACTCTTCATCAGCAGATAAAAAGGAGGTAGCTTCATCTGAGTTCACACTTCCAGTATTGAGGCTTATCTCTCTAAGAACATCATCTGTGGTCAAGTTGACCTCCCAATGTGTACTTAACCTCAGAGGAAGAGAATCCCTCACTTTCTTCGCAACCATATGACCGTATGGGCCGTGGCCATCGAAAACCCCACAGAAGATCGTATCAGTTCTAGAGCCAAAATTCTGAAACCGCAGTTGAAATCAGAATTAGTCCAAACATGTGATATATGGAGTTTCAGATAGAAAGAAGGGTATGATGCTGATGCACATTCTAATATTATATCACAAATGGAGAAAAAAATAGAAAAGAAGAACCTAGTGGTTGACCCCACTCAAAGAAGCCATGAACAAAAAGAAGAACACACAAAAGCATAACAGACAGACCCCAAAGGGTGCCCACCGCACAGGTGGTAACGAGCAAGGGATGTTTGAAGATACTCTTTAAGATCTCAGATTCAAACTCATGATGAAAACTTAAACGTGTGATCTTCAACCACATAATTGAGGGTAAAACAAAAGTTAAGTACAGAAGAAGCAACACAACAGCCCAAGTGATGTAATCTCTGTTGGATCAGATAATTAATTAACAAAACAGGAACCAAAGCAAGCAAGAAATTAAATGAACCCTTCAACAAACTCGTGGGCATATATTAATTCCCCAACATCTTTTGGCTTGGATCTAAGATTAAAGGTAATAACAAGAGCAAAATAGTTGTTGAAAGGAGAACAAACCTCCCAAACAATCATGGCATCCTGATTGGTTCCTTTCTTGCCCTGCTGCGTAAACAAAGAGGCGAAATCAGTGAAGCCATTGCCGAACACCCTACCAGGGATCCGATGGAGAGACAGATCCCCAAAGGAAGAACTCCGAGAACCATTTCGTCTCTTGCTCCTGCTTCGATGATAGTGCTTAGCCGGAGAGGTCGGGGAACCAGGAATGGGGCTCCTGCTTTCCGCAGACAAGCAGGACCCCATTCGAAGTGCCCTAACAATGCTTAGAATGCACTCCAGGCCACCTGCCCTGTCGAACCCCCGACCCCCACCACTTTCTCTGTAACGATCCGTCAGGAACCCTCTTCCGTCCCTCCCCTTAAGGGACACTCCCTCCAATTCTCAACACAAATCCTTTCAATCCCACATCACCAGATCCTTCAATCAACCTTTACGGAATTGGGAATTTGGAATTGAATTGAAAAACAAACACGAGAATCTATCTCTTCTCCACCTTTTTTATGTTCGTTTCCACTTTAATCGTAAAAGAACAATCGAAAAGAAGATAGCGATAAAAGTGCAGATCTACCTTGGCATGCAAATGGGGTACGAAGATTATGATGATAGCCTCCGATACCGGCGATTTGAGCCCCGAAATCGAAGAAATCAATCGAAAAGGAGATGAGTTTTGGAATCAAATCGAGTTTTGTGGGGAGGGGAAAAAACAGAGACGATAAGGAATCGGAATGGATTAGAGAACAGGGAATCGAAACATGTGGGTAAATAAGAAAAGGGAAGATCGGAGAGGAGAGAGAGAGGAGAGAGAGAGAAGAAAAAGGATTGAACGAAGAGAAAAAATAGGAACCAAGAAAGTGATGACTTTGTCTATAAAATAGAGAACTTTGTCCATCACTCTCTCAAATCTCCAAAAATTTGCATTACTTTTTCCGTTTAATTATATTTTAATATCTTATGTTTATATCGTTTCTCATGCTTCCATTTTTTATTATAAAGGTCGGATTTTTTTCTTCTTAATTTCCATCTTTGACTTTACGAGTCACGGCGAGCAAATTGGGAAAAGCCCAACGTGAGAATCGGGTGCCCTCGACATTCGAATTGTAGCCTGGAGAAGCGTCTTCAATGACGGATCGGGCACAAGTACCCTAGAAGGGGGCGCCAAAGAGGGTGAAATCCCTGTTGCACCCCGAGACGCTATCAATGAGTCGAGTTGTTTGGGAATGCAGCCTCAATCGGACGGTAAATTCTATCCAAGGCTAAATATGGGCAAGAGACCGATAACAAA